CAAGCTAGGAGGCTCAAATGGTCTAAGGTGAACACCAAGGCAATTGCCAGCTTTATGAACTCTGAGAGGGCACAGTTCTGGGTGAAAATAGTTGTTACATCTACTCAAGACTCAAACGGAACTTTTACTGGGCATGCCGATCTGTGTTATATGTTAAGAAACTTTTTAATAGAAAAATTGCCAGCTAGGAACCAACAGCCCATAAGATCTAATTGGCTTAACCTTGATTGTTCTTGCTTAAGAAAGACCTTAAAAGCAGCTATGCATTTGATTCAAAGAAACCCCACACCAAATAATCATGCCAAGATGTTAAAGCTTAGACGCAGTTACAAGAAATTAATAACCAAGAAGTCTCAACACATAGCTACATTTTGGTCTGAGCTAAAAAAGTCAGCAAAAGGGTCCAACTCAGTCATATTTTGGAACATTGTATCTGGCATGCTGAAGAAGCGCAAGCTTCTACTTGATATCCTCATCCCAGCTACAGTTTGGAAGATTTTTATATTAACTTAATTGCCAACTCAAAGCAGGATCATTCAGAAATGATGACTACTGAATCTCTGACCCTTGATAATCTCCCTCCTTGGCCACCAGTGTCAGTGACAGAAATTAAACATTATTCAGTCATTGAAACCCAATAAGACACCTGTTGAAGACTTCCCACCCCCAGAACATTTCAGAACACACATTGACTGGTGGGCTTCACTGCTGACAGGGCTGTTGTATATAGACAACACCGGCCATATCCCAAAAGGTATGGAGAGATGATCCACTATGGGTAGAACTTTCCATCATATACACAAAAAAGGAAATAAGGAAGACCCAAAAAATTACAGACCCATAAGCCTTGTTGATATAACAACTAAAATATGTGCAAAACATATCTTGAGAAAAATAGAGGATTGGGCAATCGAGAAGAATCTATTAGAGGAAGAACAGGCTGGGTCCAGACCTGGGTACTCCACAATAGATAATTGCTTTGTTCTACACCATCTTATTACCAAATATACAACAGATGGTAAACAACTGTTTACATCTTTCATAGATCTTAGTGCGGAGTGCGACATTTGATTCCATAAATAGAGACATCTTATGGAAGAAGCTTACCAAGCTAAATATGGAACCTAGGCTTCTATACCTGGTAAAGGCCCTCTGTACGAAAACAGAAAGTCTGTAGTGGAGTCAATGCCTTTCTTACACAGAGCATATCCCCTTACAAAGGTGTTAGACAAGGATGCACCTTGGCCCCGATGTTGTTTAATATTTATGTTAATGACATCCCAGGATTTCTCCATTCTACAGATGTTCACATGCCAAAGATTCTTAACAGACACATCAGCATCCTTTTGTATGCAGATAGTTCTGATAGCATCTCCCAAGTAGGCCTGAGAAGATTGATGGGAAAAGTTGGTGCCGATTGTCTAACTTTTTGAATATTAATAAGAGTAAATCCAAAGTGGCGGTTTTTGGAAAAAGATGGCCCAAATACAATTGGCACTTGGATGGGGAGCCTATAAAACAAATAGATTCTTTCTTATATTTAGGGGTTGTTTTTATGGATACAGGGTCTTGGGCTAAGCACTTCAAATAAAGTTCTACAAAGGCAACATCAAGCTCTAAAATGCTAACTGAACTACTTAGTTATAACTACCTAAGCACTCTGCTCCCCCTTTTAAAGGTCCACAAGGCAAAAATTGTACCAGTGCTATCATATGGCATGGATCTGTGGAGCTTATCAAAGCCCTTCTTATGAACAAATTCAAGCACACTTTTTAAGAACTATTTTGGGGACCAACAGGAATATACCTGTAGCAGCAGTAAGAGCTGGAACAAGCACCCACTCCATTTATAGTCTAACAGTAATCAAAGTTTTAATTACTGGTGGAGGACTCTCTCAATAGAACTTGACAGATTACCAAAAATGTGCCTTGAAGAACAGATGGGCACACTTCAACCCACCACATGGATCAATCAGCTTCTCCAAATCATCTCACATCTTGGCTTCTCAACACAATATCTATTTTCAGCTGGACATCAGGCCAAGACAATATTCCGACAAAGAGTCCTGGATGTTAACGTCCAAATTGATATTGAGTCACTTGCAAACATCAGGTCATTGAAATGACTGGCCAAAAATAAGATGTCCTTTGAAACAGAAAAATACTTGGCAATTGGTGTTTGACTCAATATCATAGGATAGCCCATACCAGAGCAAGATTCAAGCAGCTAGATTCTATGGTCAAATACAGATGATTCCACCAAGTGCCATATTTTGAGAGAACATGTGATTGTGGAGCATCAGAAATAGAAGACATCGCACATGTCCTATTCAACTGTCAATCATATGCCTCAGCAAGGGCTCAGTACTTACAGACACTACATGCTCACTAAAAAGGTTACCTAGATAATCCCTTAGCCTATTAAATCCATGGAGTGGGAATAAAGATGGAAAGAAATCTCATTATTATTTAGTTTATTATTTAGTTCATTATTCCCATGAACTAAAAAAAAAAAATCTGCATACACGTAGAACTAATCCATCTGTTTAGATTTATTCCTCCTTCTGCACTTAATCCTCCAGTGGAACACACAAAACACATGGTATGCTTTGAAAGCACTTTTTTTCAGTTGTTAGAGATCAATCTGAATTTTCAGATTCAGAAACTGAAGCATTTGATGAGACTGAGCCTCAGCCTGTACCATAGGAATTAGCTGAAGAGGGTGCAAGTCAGGCAACACAGCTGCAAGCTTAGTCAACTGACCCAGAGCCTAAATCAAGTGAGGTCCTAAGACCAGCAAAATGTTGCAGTTATGAACAGCAAAGGAAGTCAAGGAATCCATTTGAAAGAAAAAGTGCCTTGGCCAGTTAGTAAACTGATAGAGCTCTATAAAAGAGATGGCTTTTGTTAACTGGTTCTTTGGGACAAATAATGTTCTGATTTTATACCTGTGACTCTCTGTTGTTGGATTACCTGGAACTGGACTTTTCTTGGATCTTCCTGAACTGAGACTTGTCTGTCCCCCCCCCCGCCCCAGTTCATGGGAATAATGAACTAAATACACTAAATAATAATGAGATGTCTTTCCATCCTTCCTCTTGTCTCTTGCAAAATTAAGTTCTCATGTCTGTTTCTATTCAGGAAGCTCTGAGTTTGTAGCATGCTTTATGTTACTTTTGTGAAAGACTTATGACTGCAATAAATAATTTGAGTTCATTATCAGAAGCTCTCTCTCTCTCTGTGTGTGTGTGCGCGTATAACTGGCAAAAAAGGAACAGTTGTCTTCTTCTGGCATAGAAACAATGTCCAGTATATAAAAGGATATTTTGCTTGTAGATGGGGATTATTGTGAGAGAATACAAGCATTAAACTGTGTAGTTTTATTAAATATAACCTGTATTTAATCTCCATTTTATGTTAACTTTAACATTTTATGTTAAATGGGGAGCTTCAGCTGCCACCCTTAGGACATCAGCACTAGAGTTGGTCTACTCCACAGCAGAATACTGCGCCCCTATGTGGCTTAACAGCTGCCATACTAGCAAGATAGACGCCAGACTTAATGACACCATGAGGATTATAACCGGATGCATTAAAACCACTCCCATCCGTTGGCTTCCTGTTCTGAGCCATATAGCACCGCCAGTTTTGCGAAGGCAAGATGCACTAGTGAGAGAATATAGAAAAATAATGAACTCACTTCTGGTGCATGCTGACCTTCCCTACTTATCACTTGGAAGGCTTAAATCTAGGAAGCCCCCATTGGTACCTGCACAACATCTGCATACTAACTTCAACATCAACTCCCAGTAGAAAGTTGAATGGGTCGTTGAACACCCAGATACAGGAAGACATATAGATGACCCTACGCAAAAGGTGCCAGGTTTTGATCTATCTCGCCAGCGATGGATGAGCTTGAACAGGATTCGCACCTTACATGGCATCTGCCAGGATTCACTGCATAAAAGGGGTATGGCATCATCACCTCAGTGTGGCTGCAGGGCCGCACATCAAACCATAGATCACATTGTGACCAACTGTACGTTGAGGGCATATAATGGCCCAATATCTGATTTCTTTTATATGAATGATGCTGCGCTTCAATGGTTAGATGGCCTAGACAT